GGTCCATATATACTACAGTAATGGACTTAGGTCCCAGAAGACCTATCATGGTTTTTGGGGGCCTAATTTCGTCATAGTAGTGTATATGAACCCTCTTGGCTATGTTCGCAACCAAGGACAAGGAAGGACAGTGGAGATCAGCCCTGTATCTCTTCTCAGACATACAAGGGACCAGCTATGCTGCAGATGCGATCAGCTTTAATGCAACCATGAGTGCCTAGGTTTGTAGCTATGAATAGGGGGTTTTGGGTCACGGCCCGTTTCCAGAATGTTTCTTAATGTGTTGATATAGGAAAACATTCCCGAAAGCCCGATTCCAATTATTCAGGTACACGAAAAGACCCGAAGGGAGCCCTGTTCTAACTACTACGGCCCTTTTACTAGGTGCGTGTGCCAGATCTGGCCTTTGGCAGCTTGCACATCATCTGCTGTCAGACATGCCACGGGTCCGGCTTGCAGCAACAGTCGTGAGCTTCAGCACAGTCGTCAGTGCGTGCGAGTCAAGCGGGCAGTGGCAGATGGCTCTGCACCTGATCTCTGCCATGCGACGAGCTGCAATCCTCTGCAACGTGATCGCTCTGAACTCAGCGATTAGTACATGCGAGAAAGCTGGACAATGGCAGGTGGCACTTGATCTTTTGCATTCGTCTACCCTGAAGGTGTCCGCAAACGTGATTACATTTAATGCAGCCATGAGCGCTTGCCAAAAAGGAGGACAGTGGCAGCTAGTATTTCAGCTTCTCACTGCGATGTTAGGAGCAGGTCTGGCTGCGGACGTGGTTACCTTCAGTGCTCTTATCAGTGCATGTGAACCTTGTGGCTTGTGGGAGCAAGTTCTGCTACTCCATGCAGAGATGGCCAGAAGTCAGGTGGTGCCTAACCGGATCCCCTACAGTGCTAGCATCAGCGCCTGCAGGGCAGGGAAGTGGCAACTGGCTCTCGACTTCTTCGTGACGATGCAAGCGCGAGGGTTGGAAGCGGACGTGCCTGACTTTCAAGGAGCATAGGTCAAGTTAGTTACACCACACTTCCTGAGCAAGCATCTTCGTGCCAAGACAAGCTGTGCGGCTGTACATCTTGTTCTGGCAAGGTGAATGAAGTACTAAGCTCCGTACCCACAGGGTCGTACAAGTAAGTAACCATATGGTAGAATGTAGAGTTTCTAGATTTGGAAGTACATCATGATTTGGGGAAGTACCCCCCCCCCCCCCCGTAAGAGCACCTAAAACTTAAACCCTAAGTTATCTGAGAAGCCCAGGTCATCAGCTTCAATGCTGCGATTAGTGCCTGCGAAGAGGCTGCTCAGTGGCAGCTGGCCCATCACCTGCTTTCGGACATGCGGACAGCCAGGATGGCCGTGAACGTGATAAGTTTCTTCGCAGCCGAATGGGTGCACTTTGCATTTTTCGGGGATAGGACTATCCCCCGTAGAACTGAACGCTTACACCTTTTTGGGGCTGCTGAACTCATCAACTAAGGTTTCAACACGACCATAAGTGCCTGCGAAAAGGCAGGGAACTGGCGGCTTGCCCTTCAACTCCTCTCAGAGATGGATGATTTCAGAGTAAGACATGACGAGATAAGCTTCAATGCTACGATCACCGCCGTTGCCAAGCATGGGCCATGGGAGATGGCTTTGCAGCTGTTCCAATCAATGCCTTCAGCCCGAGTCTTGCCGGATATCATCAGCTTCAACGCAGCAATCAGTGCCTGCGAGAAACTGGGCGTTGGTTTAAGGAGATGCAGCTGTGTGAGGGGAGTGTTTTTAGAACTTAGAACCCAAACCATACCCTCCAAAGCCCTGGCAAAGCCTGTATGGTGACTTGCTTCAAGACCCTGATGGACCTCCCCTTCAACTAGCAAGAACCAAGGAAGAAAGGATTCTGGCAACTGGCTATGATGATCCTGTCAGGCTTGGCAACTGCCCAACTGCAGCCGACCGTGACTTGGTTTTCCAAGATCCCAGCCTTTCGCGCCTGGGGGCCTTAAGAATTAGAACAGAGGGTTCCTTCAAAGAGTTCTATAAGGGTTAGTATAGACGCCTTTACAACTACGCAGTATAGGGGTTGGAGGTATGCTATACATTGGGCTGCAATGATAGCTTGGCGGTTAGAGTTTAGGATAGTTTAGGGGTTTGTGGTTGGGTTGCTATAACAGTTTGGTAATTCCTCTGAGTTTGAAACCTTGCCGTACCCATAGGCCCCTAAGTAGTTCCTTTTTGGCATTACCTTAGAAGATTCCACATATAAACCATAAAAAGGAACTACTTAGGGGCCTATGGGTAGTCAAGGCAACCTCGTATGGTTCAGCCATCAGTGCCTGTGAGAAGAGCAGCGACTGGCAGGCGGCATGGTCCAAGTCGATTTGCTGAAGGTTCTAGGGACTGAAGGAGAGACCCTTAAAGGGACCCTTGGGGTTATATGGGGGCTGTATGAGAGTCCAAGTCGATCTGGGACTTTCCGAAGATTCGGGGTACCCTTATAAGGATTCTGAGACTTTAGGGTTTAGGGTTTAGGAGTACCTTGTTTTGGGGGGTCCTTATAACAAGGATCCTACTAATGAGGGGTACTATATTAGGGTCCCCTATTTTCGGAACCCCCCCCCATTTGCTGAAGGTTTCCCTGATTTACCCATAGGCCGTTAAGTAGTTCCTTATCATGGTGTATATTTAGAATCCTATAGGGTAATCCCAAAAAGGAGCTACTTAGGGGCCTATGGGTAGTCACACCGTGATGCCATACCTAGAGCAACACTAAGCCCTGAACCCTACAAGCCCAAAACCGTGATGCCATTCCTAGAGTAACCAAGGTAGCCTTCAAAAAAGAAGGAGATGATCCCAAAAAGTTGGTACATCTGCTCTTCTTGAAGCGTTTACCCTCAACCCTAAGCCCTAAACCCAACAGCCTAAACCTAAAGAACAAATACCCGAAAGTTGAAAACCCAAAACCCTAAACCCTACCTGTAACCGAAAAGACCTACCTTTTTAGGGATCCTTATTATGGTTTCTATATGTAGTTCCTTAAAAACGGTAGCTCTTTTCGGTTACAGGTGAACGAAGGCCTGAAGCTCTGCTCACAGGCTGCCCTGGAAATCCACCGGACGATTTTTCATGACCGCCTCGCCAATGCGATCACCTGCAACTCTGCCCTCTCCGCCCTGGCCAGAGGCCTTGCGTCCCAGACCCGAAACAACCCTTTAGGGTTTGGGGCTTAGGGTTTAGGGCCCAACTCAACAGCGACTTTGCCATAGTTTGGGTGACACTTTACATGTTTATGGGTACTTCAACCCAGGAAGGAATAGACAAAAATAGTCCGAAAATGCTGTTAAAAGACTGAAAATCTGCCTGAGCCCGCTAGATCAGCTGAAGAGGTCTATAAGGATCTCTACAAAAAGGGTTCCCCTCAAGGGTTCCCTTAAAAGGGTATTAGAACGGTTTAGGGGAGAAGGGTCCACGTAACCCAAAACCATTGGACTTAAGGTAGTTTTTTGATGTAGGTAGCTTTCGGTCCAAGGCATGTGCTGTACATGGACCCTTAGAGGTTTAGGGTTTAGGGCTTTTAGGGCTTTAGGGCTTCAGGGTTTAGGGGTTTTGGGCCTCAGGGTTTAGGGTTTAGGGTTTAGGGATAGGGAGTGTAGATTGTGCGGTTTCCCTTCGATGAGGTACTAATGAGCATTGGTCAACGGCCTTTCATCTCCATGTACGGGCAAATGACGCGCAACAGCAACATCTCCAGCAACACACCCTGATACCTAGAAGCTACATAGTTGGAGACTGCCCCCACTCAGCATCAGTTGGGTAATCTTTTTTAATAATAGAGGTATATACTGCCCTTTGCAGCCTTAGCCGTAGCCTTCTAGTAGACTGGTACCGCATGCGGGGCGGTGCCCAATACAGAGTCGGTTGCTGCTGACCCCGCTTCTCCATACCATGACCTTGGGCAAGTACCCCATCAGTGTTACTGTTAAACCCATCCAGCCTGCTTCTTCATGAGATGGTCCAAAGTCGGGTCAGAGGTATGATTAAACCCTAAGCCCTAAACCCTAAATCCCTACACCCTAAACTCTAAACCTAAACCCCAGTGTGATACCCTTGAGGTCCCGTGTAGAATCGTCAACACTCTAATCTACTTCTGCGTAGGATGTTGTTATACAAGCTACAAGATAGAATATACGTACTCTACACAAAAGCACGGATAGTGCTAGTTTACCCTTAACCCTAAACCCCTAACCCCTAAACCCCTAAACCTCTAAACCCCCAACCCCTAAACCCCTAAACCTCGGTTTGGAAATCCCAGGCCGAGCCTGGGCTCAAGGCCTCCAGCGCCGCTGCAGCCGCCAGGGCCGCGACAGGGGCGTTCCGGACCAGGCCCAGAAGCCGCCGCGTGTCCGAGAGCTCCTGAAAGGGTTTATAGGGCTTATAGGGTTTAGGGGTTTGGGGTTAGGGTTTAAGGTTTTAGGGTTTAGGGTTAGGGGTTTAGGGGGGTTTAGGGGTTTAGGGTCGGGGAAAAATAGGCTAGGATGCAGGGATCATCTTTCGGAGCTATGTAAGGATTTCTGAGGGCTTCTATTTTTTCGTAGTTAGAGGAAGTATCTATAGGGGCATATCGGGTTTTGTACGAGTTGTACAGGGGCTAAACTACAAGCAGGGACTATGTAGTGGCTAAAAGTGCGGCAAAGATGTGGAGTAGTTTCGCTCAAGGCTATAGGGATTCGGTGCGGCCTCGTGGGACCGCTTTGCCGGTGTCTGCAACTATGCTCTTCTTCAAGGCTTCAGGGATGGTTGGGTAGGGCTTAGACTGAGGGCGTAGGAATGGGGGTGTCAAGTGCTGACGATCTTTCGGAACGTGAACATACATAGCTCTTGTCAGGCGAGAAGAGACGAACACGAAGAGGATGCACAAGCAGCAAGGGGCAGTAAGAGATCGTGACAAGACAAGCCGAAGCTCAAAGCGTTAGAGTTTTGGTACTTAGGGTCCCAAAGGTTCGAGAACTGTTCAGTCCTCCAGGACAACAACACGCCGGCCGACATAGGGCAGCATCCTAAGCTGCGTTCGGAACATGTGCGACTGTGACATGAGGTAACTACCAACGGCCTTGCATGGGTCCGCGGATCGCAAGACACCCTGGAAGTTGTCTCAGCTAATGTCTGCCTGTCTTTATGTATGTATGTATGCATGCATGCATGCATGCATGTATGTATGTGCGTGTGTAGGTATGTACGCACCTGTCTGTGTGCATCATGTACAACACACAGTTGCATACATACGGGAGTTTAAAGCCTGCGAGACAAAACCGTATAAAGCCTAGCATCGGCTCGATGGCTTCTTGGGCAAACCTGGCAGGCAGCTTCCATGCACACAGGAATCCAGTGGGCACTCACACCTTCACGTATTCTTCGATTTTAGGCCTGAGCGCTGGCGTGGGGCTTTCGGCTTTGTAGAGCTTTAGGCTGCTCCCACTTCGCAGCTGTCCTTACTTGTAGATCGCCATCTGCGAGTACGCACTTCGACTTCCACTGAAGCTTGGACACGCCTCCATGCATTTCTAGTGTATCGAAGCCTCCCACAAACGTCAGGGTATCACAGAGAGCTTAGATCAGTTTGAAAGGCCAAAGGACTGAATTGGGACTTCGGGCTTCGGCCTCGATAGATCTCAACAAATGGGGCCCCTTCCTACCGAGAAGGCGTCCTGAAGAGCCAGGGAAACCAAGTCATATACTCAAGAGAACCGATGATAATCCACCACTAGGCCGTTGACTGGCTTCCTTTTCATGTACTCATCGAAAATTACGACTTCGACTAGAACTACAAGAAGGACCCTCGAAAGCAGCCACAGAACAGTGTTCAGGCCTGAACTGCGTGGCTTTGTCAGGCACATCGAAGCGATCCTGCAGAAGATGGGTCAGCACAGTCTCCGACCACTGCCCCCCCCGTGAGATACCACAATCTAGCTTCCTGAACTTAGGGCTTAGGGGTCCTTACGTTAAGAACCCGAAATAGTACATCATAGTACGAGTCTACTCAAAAAAAACTCATTCCCAGTCGAAGTTAGGGTCCGAGAGCAACACGAGTTCAAAGAAGTCCCGCAGCCTGCTGACTCCTAGCTTACTAAGTGGAATATAGGGTTCCCTTAGTAAGGTATTACAAAGGTTACCACAAAACGGTTGGAATATGGTGGCCACTTCCAGCCATAATTTGACTATGATGCAGCTTACGATGATGGCGGACCCTGTAAGTAAGAGGCCGACAGCCCAAGCCGAAGCAAAGTCAAGCTAACCTCAACCCCGAAGCAAACACCCGAAAACCCGCAACGAGAAACCCATGCAAGCTCAGACGACTTCCCGGGCCTCGGATAAGCCGACTCAAGAGCCAGGCAACCTTCTACGCAACTCCGAATCCTTAGAAGTCCCGAAATCCGAAGCCCTCTGGCCCCTCCGCACCTGGGCACCCCCGCCCACTCACAAAAAAAAAACAGGCCGTCAGAATCGCTCAGCCTTCCATCGGACTCTCAACCAAGGCATGGAGACTTCCTGCCTTCTCGAAGACTCGGAGGCCCCCTGGCGGTGAGTGGTCCATGGATCACTGGGGCTGGGTTTGGAAAACAAAATCAACATCTTTGGTATGCAGATATATGTATACACAAAACACACACACACACAGAGAGAGAGAGGTTTTTGGGGGCTTATTGCAGCTTTGGCGTTCCACTGTTCAGAGTTTGTTTACCCCTTCGAAGGAGGGAGGCGTCCGGGCAAGGGTCGGGGGGCCTGCGATGACCCGCAGCTTCCGCTTGGCGCCCTGGGCCGTGCCCAGGCGCAGCAGCCGCGCGGCCGCCTTCGCGAGGAAGATCAGCTGGCTAGCCTCGCCTCGGTCGCTGTTGTTTTTTCGGGGTTGCAGGCTGGGGTGTCAAAAAACTATAGTAACTACCCATACGCCCCTAAGTAGCTCCTTTTTGGGATCACCTTGTAGCATTCCAAATTCTACATATAAACCATAAAGAGGAACTACTTAGGGGCCCGTGGGTATAGTTTGGCGACTCCCAGAGGTTAGGTTGCTAGGTCCTTGAAGTCTTGGCGGTCCGCGATCAACAACTTACTTTCTTGGGAGTTTAGAGCTTTTCAAAGGGATCCTTTAAGGGTTCTATAAGGATACTTTGGAGGATTCTCTGGTAAAGGCACGACCTGCAAATATCGTGGCTCATTCCTGCACAATCTCGCGCCGGACGAGTTTCCGCTACGATCTGGTGCTGATGCTGGAACAGAGTCTCTGAATCTCTCAATCGTGCGCAACAGAAGTAGTCAAAGAAGAAGGAACGGCATTCTTCTGTCATCCGGGGGCCCCAATGCGTCTGCACGAGCTCCCCCGCGGCATCCAGCTCCAGATGCCGGCGGCTGAAGAAAAGCCTGAACTTCTTTTGGTAACTTCAGGCTTTGAGGCAGGGCCGGAGCCGGATAGGATACAGCCGTGCAAACCCTGGCGATCCTGCTCGAGATGTAGAATGCAGACTTAGAGAGCTGCAGATCCACAGGCGTGATTTCCTTTCCTGCTGGCCAGGAGCTGACCGCCTTGAAGCAAGTGCAAGACACGGATGGTGGGCCACGGACGTTTTCAACTGTCGAGAGGTCGCTTCAGAGTGCTTTTGAAAGAAGCGTCATCGAACCTATCGCCTCCCTGGCCACGCCTGATGTTCGCGATGTGCGAGCGAACACTGCCATGATGAAAGTGTTCATATATTTGTAAACATGATGACAACGACAAAACCTGTGAAGACAGTGACGATGAACATCAGCGTCGTGGTCATACTTCTTGTGATGAAGGATGGATCTGATTGCTACGTGGCTGGCATTCTGACAATGCTGTCAGGACGCTCCTCCGGGAAGCTGTCGTGCAGTCCATAAAAGCAACGCAGTGCGGCAGCCTGCACAGATGCTCTGGTCACCTCTTTAGTATTACTTTACTACTATTACGATCATGGCTGTGATTCACTATTCTTGCTTTTCTTCTCCTTCTTCTATTTTTACCGGGTTGATTGTCGGATTTGATGCGGCCTGCTCGGGAGACTCGCCGAGCGGCTCGTAGCGCACAATCTCCCGAGACAGGGATCCCGACTTCCTCGCTTGGTCTCTCCGGCTTTCATAATCGTCAATTAGGGGTTTCGGGTTTAGTTTCTATGGTCTTGGGGTATCGGAGTTGCAAGTGGTTCTGTTAGGGACTCACAGGGCGTCATAGGTTTGAAGGTCCTTTCAAGCACAACTACAATCGCAGAGACTGTGGGACTAATAATTATTGCGAACAGTCAAGGCTGCTGTCCTGTAAAGTAAGGTCTCTGTGTTTCCCCTTCTTGAGGCCGTCTCGTTGGGCCGGCCCTGAAATTGGATTAGGACAACAACACATTCGTTGGCAGTATGAAGCAGTCTGCTATTCCTCATGCAAGTCTTGCAGGATTTTCGGGCCAAAGCTCCGTAGGCGTCTTGGCCTATGCTCGCCGGCACCTCGAAACCGAACCTAAGACACCACGTCCCAAGTCAGGAGACCTCGACGCCTGCGCCATCCTCCACCCGATGCAACTCCCACTGCTCCCATCCCGAACCTCAAACTCAACCCCTAAACCCTAAACCCGTAAACCCTAAACCCGTAAACCCTAAACCCTAACCCTAAACCCTAAACCCTAAACCCAAACCCTTAACCCAAACCCGAACCCCAAACCCTGAACCCCGTTGCTAGGCTTCACGATATCTGGCTCTGCCTCGCGCGCTCGCGCCGGGATTCAGCCTTCTGCCTCTCCTTTGCAAAGGAAGCTTCATGAGGGTTTAGGGCCTCTTAGGGTTTAGGGTTTAGGGCCTCTTAGGGTTTAGGGTTTAGGGCCTCTTAGGGTTTAGGGTTTAGGGCCTTTTAGGGTTTAGGGGTGTAGGGCCGTTTAGGGTTTAGGTTTTGGGGCTTAGGGTCATGATTGCATCTGTAAGGCTCCATAAATACATACCGACATAAGGCCTTACCGGAGTTTTGATGGGGAAAGCAAATTTGAAAAGGGTCTTGGTGGGGCCTTATATTCGGCTCTGTAGGGGTTTGTGGGCTTCATACGTGCCTTTTGTTGGGGTGTATGAGTTCGTAGGCTGTTATACGGGTTCTGTTTCGAGTGTGTTTGGAGCCAGGTCAGACCGTGAATTCGTGGAGTGAGCGAGATGGGAGAAAGCCAGGACACAGGAGGGTCCTTAAGAGCTGCGGCTCCTTTCCACAGAGCTCCCAGACTGCGTGTATCTGAGGCGCTCTATATCAAGAGTCTCCTATTTTCTGAGACCCCTCCCCACAACGTGGACTCTGACTTTGCCTGGGTTCTATAGGGCTTACCCGTAGTACGGTTCACTGCCATATACTGCAGTATCTCTCCTTTGTACCGAGATACCTGCTCGCTGCGCCCAGCTTCCACAGCCTGCAGCGTTCTCAACGTGGGCTCATGGAGGCTTTGGGATTCTTATAGGGCCTGGCGCTGCGGGCTGAAACAGTGTGAAATTCAGATTTGGGGTTTAGGGCAAGAGTGTTTTGGGACTTCCGGGCTCTGAGGTGTGGACGGGTGGGCCTTCGAGTTTACCAGGGGTTTGGAGTTGAGGGTTTTGCGAACTTGGGGCAATGTCAAGGCCGGAATGCCACCTCAGGCATCTAGAGCCTTACACTCTTGCCCTCGGACCTAGGAAAGGCTCGGCTTTAGTATTTTACTTTCAAAAACTCTCAAAATCATATTCGGGTAGTTCTCTACATTAGGGTCCCGTTTTAGGTCACAATATCGTACGGCACCCTTATAAAAAAAGGACCGTGAAAGGGATCCTCATTTAAAGAACTACCATATTTACAGAACACAAAAGTCAGCCGCAATGCCACGGGGGTCCCACAGCCCGGTCTTGTCCTCCTCGAGCTTCCGCAGCTGCCTTCGACGCTCGACCTCTCGAGTTTGGGTTGGTCAATGCTTTCTTAGTAATAGAATAGCAATAGTAATAAAAGCAATCATAACTATGATAACTATAATAAAGTGCTCGGATAAGTGGTGTCGGTGCTTCGGGAGCAGATACCTGAAGTTGGAAAACACATTGTGCCTGCGCCCAGGCAAGTCTCGCTCTTCAGACTCACAAGACTGGATGCCTCTTCGCCGTCGCTGTCCACATCGCTGTCATAGCCTCTGTATGGGATGCATTGGTCTCTGCACTTTTGGGCAACAAGGCAATGGGCGAGGTTGATGCCAATCTGCAGAAGACTTCGGAAGTTAGTTGTGCACTGTATACGTACATCCCTCCTTCCATCCATCCATCCATCCATCCATGTTTGGGGCAAACATGTATGTTTGCATCTGACAGCAGGTCAGGGGGTTCCCGAAGCTTCGCATGCTTGAAACCCAGGCTACTGTGGGTTCAAGCAGCCCAGCCGTCGATCCTCCTGGAGACCAGGCAGCCATGTCTGCTTGGGGGCTCAGGTCTTCTTCATAACTTTGGGTGTATAGGACTTTCTTTTTTATTTCAGGACCATCAGGAGTTTAGGAGTTTAGGGATCAGTGCATTCTGGTGCTGTCGCCCCTCGGATGACCCAGGCCGAAGGGTACCGCAACCTCTAGTCTCGTAATGATCTGCGTGTGCTTCGCAGGGAGTGCGCTTCACTGATCGCAGAACGGAACAAGGCAATTTGCCGAACAGTACAGTATTCGAATCCCATCCGCTCCTCCTTCTTCCTCCGAGGTAAGTCAGCTGTCTTCTCAAAGACCTCATGCTCGCAAACTGCCGGAATTTTGTGTGTTACCTCTTGCGATACCTCCTGACCACCCAATTAAGGCGGTGTTGAGAGGACTGCGTCGCGGAGGCCCTTCGGCTGGCTGAGGATCCGAATAACTTCTCACCCTGACATAGAATGTATGTAATTGCCAATGGACTGCTTATAATTACCTTCGCCATTCGGTGGGTCATCAAGCTCAGGGACGCTGGTCCTGTGTGAGGTGCCGTGTGCGACACATTCATGGCTGAGCCATTCTACTCCAGGCAGGACCTGCAATCGTCGTGTCCTTTCTTCTTACTAGCCCGGTGCGTGCGAACGTTACACCATGCACCCTGACAACGCGAAACCCGCAATTCCTTCCGCGCAGCAATAAAGGGTAGCTGTCATGGCAAGAGGCGGCGATGAAGAAGCCTGATCAGCTCGCAGTCTTTCGGAAACCAGGAAGCCAGATACCCAAACTTCCAGGAAGAGTGTTTAAGGTGTAGACCTCCACTACCTAGGACCTTCAAGTAGGAGTATGGGGCTATGTTGGACCCTTGCTAAGCTCCGACGGCAGCAACTGCTACAAAGCAAGGCCCGATTCCGAAGGTCAGGCCGAACACTTTGTCACGAATTGTTGTGGCTTCAATATCAGTCCCCGACTGTGACATTCCTTTCTCGTGAGCGAAAGACCTCAGGCCCTGATTCCCCAACCATGAACTTTGCTAAAGTATTAAATCCGAGTAGCTAACCCACTGAATGCGAAAACGACGAAGCCTAAATCCTGTGAGCCCCTACATCGTAGACCTTACATCCTCAAGCTCGGACCCCCAAAAACCTCATGCTGAGCCCTTGCGCCTCCGGTGTCGTTGTGGTGTGGAAGGATGCGGATACACCTTGGCAGCTGGGCGCTCGCAGACGTGCTCTCCTCTGGCGGGAAGACGCCTCAAAGGGCGCATCAAGCAACTTCAGTGCACAGTGAGGAACAAAGGCAAGCTCGGGGAAAATTAGGGTAACGGGGTGGCTGAAAGGTCCACAGTAGGTTTAGCCAAGGGGTCCGCAGAACATACTCATGGTGAAGTCGTGTCCAAGAACTGTTGTGTCAGGCCAAGCTGCTTCAAGGATGCTCCCAAAACGGGTGGTTCTTCTAGTTACATCATGGTTCCTTCAATCCAGGCACTCGGAATAAAGACCGCAAGCGGGATCCTAGCGTAGTTCACAACAAACGCAATGACAAGCTTCTAAAAGGATATACCTTTCAGCAGTGCAAGGTTCGGGGCCCAACAACCCCCGCGCTTGGGTAGACAAGCCCATGAAACGGCCCGGGTGCTGCCTCCTAAACCCTAAACCCTAAACGGCCCTAAACCCCCAAACCCTAACTTGAGGATGCTGCTCCCAGGCTTTCTGACCTCCGATCTATCAAGCCTGTATGCCATATAAGATAGGAAGCTTCGGAGATCGCGAAGGGTCATTTTCTAGGGGCCTGAATAGTTAGAGCAGGGTTTTGGGGTATACTAAAAAATTACACTGTACTTTGTGATCAGGAGCCCCAAGATAGTAGAGGGGAGTCTATATTACGGCTCCGTTTCTGTCGCCTGGAGCCAACTTCGCACCAGCTGCTTGGGCCTCAGCTTGGCATGTCGAGGCATGGGTGACGGCGCATCGTCTGCAAATTTCTCGTACAAAAAACAGGAAGTTCAGATGAACAACACATTCGGAATCTCAATCCTCCTCCTCCCCCTCCTCATCATCATCATCATCATGATCGCCAGCAGCAACAGCATGTCTGGCACTTTGCTTGTGTCATCGTTGCCACCAGAATGCCCATACTGCTGACACCTGCTGATGGAACAGAACCCTGTGGGCTCTGGTGACTCTGGGGGGTGGACGGAAAGTGCCATACATACGTGACCGATGCAGACATGGATCTGCTCTCGCACCCCTTCTGCTTCAAAGTCAGAAACCCCTCTACATTGTACAACACACTTCAACCAAAGCCAAAGCCCCGAAAGAGCAGCGGCAGCGCCTCCGCAAAGCTCGAGAATGTCTGCCGCTTGCTGAGATGTGCCACCTCCCGGTCTGAGTACAGCTTGGGGTGTCAAAGTTTACAGGATCTTATATAGTACTTATTAAGGGCATGTAAGGTTTAGGGGGCAAGTGCCATCTACCTTGTCTTCATTGGTTCAACTCGTGATGTTGTTGCTGTTGCCTCACGTTGCTACCAGCCTTACTTCTGACTATTACCCATTGCTGCTACATCACTGGATCCAATCACGTGCATTGGGGTTGGGCGGTTTGAAAGTTTTCGGTTTGGGGGTGCTTCAGGTCAGGGTTTTAGTGCACCGCTCAAGTTTAGCTTAGCTACAGCCCGGAAGCCCCCAACCCCCAAAAAACCCTACAAGCCCTCACAAAGCCGTCATACACCCATACTGTACAAGACGTAGAAGCCCCCCAAAGCACCGAACACGCCCGCTGTCACCTTCCATTTCCGCAAGCCGGGAGCCGTTTTCAGCGGCGCGAGCATTTGCCGCGCCTCTTTGAGTTCCTTTGGCTCGAAGGGTTTCGTGGGCGTTGAAGGCGTCCTTTAAGGGGTCTTTCAGAGTTTCGGTGTTTATGAGGTTCGACGCTTTCGGATTTACATGTTGGGGCAGCCCTAAGAGCTTCTGGCTTCACCAGCAGAAATTTACTTGCGTCGCGGATCTTCAACTGCTTTGCGAAACTATCGACAACTTAAGGTGACCACATGTCTAAGTTTTCCAGCGCGAGAAAATGCCGCGCCCTTTCTGTGAGTCGAGTTCTGCAGGCCTTGAGAAAGTCATATAATACTGCGCCGGGCCAATAGTTCGACCCACCAGCTTCAACAACGACTCCACCCTCTTCCCACTAGACTGATAAACACAAGTGAGCCCTGAACCCTCCTCCGGAATTAAAAACTATAATGTTAAAACGGCGTAAAACTACTCCGCTATAGGACTGTACGAAACTTTCGGCCCGCGGATGAAAAATATGATATAACCGAATACAGTATAACACCATATATAACATAGTGTAACATAAATGATATAGTAACATAGTATAGTATAGTATAAGATGACAGAGATAGAGTATAGTACAATACAATAGAATAGAACAGAATACAGTATAATCAAGAGAATACAATATAAATTTGAGCAGTGACATCCTGCAGTCGCCCACGTGTTTCTGGCGGCGGCGCGGGGGTTGAGCCGTTGGTGTTCCGTTTTGGGCTTTCGGGTGAGGGGTGCCGGAGAGACCCCGTCACGGAAGACAGCACATTCCGAAGCGCTGGGAGTTTTTTCAGCTGCTGAGGCTTTGGGAAGGCTTGTTGGGGCCCTTCAACTCACAGGGCCGAGATGCAGCACAGCCCGTCCGCAGGATCTCTGCCACGACAGCTTCGTCCTCCACGGGAGAAAGGCTGCAGGTGCCTGAGATACAAGCAAATCGCTGACAGATCCGAGATGTTTGGTGAACCTTCCCTGTCCCGCTTCATGGCAAACACTGCAGCAGCGAAGCATCTTCCCTCGAAGGCATAAAAAATTAGCAGGTGACCTTAGACCGCACGCTTCAGAAGCCTCAGAGTCCAGCGACTGTAAACCAGGCGCCCCCCAATGCGTAGAAGACGCAGGGCGCGCAGAGCCACCTTGCACCCCAAGTTCAAGACTGGTTCATGTTTTGCCCAACTCGACATCGGCAGGCTGTGAAGCATGTAGTTTCCGAGGCATACAGCCCAGAGGTGTTGCATTTCCTTTGAGTCTGTGCATGCTTTCTCTTCTTGCTTGACTTGCTTTTCTGGTCATGTGTTTGTGCAAATTTGCATGTCTCTTCGTATGCGTCCAGTTGCAAAAATGCCTCTTTCTGATAAGTTTGACTTCTGGTATAGGTTGCAACATCAAGAAATCATAACCAATAAGCCCTAAAAAGGGTCTACAGTTTATGTGGGGTCCGGGTAAGGGTTTCATGATTTCATGGGTTCGGGCTCTTCCCGAAACCCTAAACTTCTAAACACCTGCTAAACCCTAAACCCTACTAAACCCTACTAAACCCTAAACAATACTAAACCCTACTAAACCTAAACAATACTAAACCCTAAACCCTAAGCCCTTTGGCCGAGAGGCGGCCAGCTGTGAGGCATGGAGCTCCAAGCCGAGTTTCGGCGTCCACTCCTGGGCTCTCTTCGGCTTCTTTGGGGTTTAGGGTTTAGGGTTCAGGGCTTTAGTTTAGGGTTTAGGGTTTAGGGTTTTGGTTTAGGGTTTAGGGTTTAGGGTTTTGGTTTAGGGTTTAGGGTTTAGGGGTTTTCGGCTTTTTTGGGGGGGTTTTATTATTGTAGGGCCTAGGGGGGGGGGTTATTCATGGGGTTTCGTTCAGGGCTTCTGGGGGCCATACAAGGCTTCATGGCTCAGCAGGCTTCGGGGTTTCGGTATTACCGGTTCAGGGTTGGTTTTTTTTTTTGGGGGGGGTCTTGGGGGCAGTGGAGTCTCCGAGCCTCAAGCCGGAAGAGAGCTAACAGCCGAGTCTCGCGCCAAAGGTGGGGTGACTTTCGGAGCGTTCCGTCCTCGGACAGAGGTTGCAAGGAAAGGCAAGTCAAAAACGAGCCAGGTAGATGCGCACTCTGCCGCTTCCACTGGCCTTCCTGCGAATCGATGTTCTCAAAGTCTGAGGCGTCACCTAAGAGCCTAAAAGGTCACTAACCCTTACTAAGCATACAAGATGTAAGCCAGGAGCGTACGACAGTAGCCCATGACTTGGGCAACTGGAGCCCTAGGGGCCTAGAGAGGGACTCTGAGACTGGGCCCAACACACTGGAGCACATCACGTCGCAAAGGATGCGGTCGAAGAGCACCTCACGCGGCAAAAGGCGGAATAGAGGATCCTTGCAGCAGAAAGCTCAAGTCCCCAAGTTCTGCAACATTGACTTCAAAACCCTGATCGGCCTACCCCAGGCATTTTAAATTGATTTCGGTCTACAGCCACTCCTCAGGCACCTCCTGGCCCTCTTCGTCGCGAAGGCTCGGGAAGTAGCGGGCATCGTGGGAGGTGAAGATCACCAGGGGATACAGTGGCTGATGCCTCCAAGGACGCTTATCGGAACTCTTGCAGGACACCTCATTCCTAAACTCTACGGCTTCGAGGGTGTGTCGTTCTTGCTGCAACACTTATGCTCGTCCGGCTTGCTCCGTCTACGTTCGGGCGTTAGGCGTGAAGAGCACAAACGAATTCAGAGAACAAGCCTCGGGTGGAACTCCTGACACCGGCTAGCTCCTCGACACGAAATCCTCCTAGCCCAGCCTTCCGCAGCGGGATTTGGAGATCAGCTTGAAGGTTCAGGGTTCGAGTTGTGCTATGTGAGCTCGGGATATGGAAGACTGTTGCGCTGAGAAATTCCTGGGGAACTCTATTCCTGATTCTGTGTCTTTTTTGATCATTCGGCATGAGAGGGCTGCAAACCTTGGCCATCAGGGTTGGCACAAAGGGTTTCGGGAAAGTCATTTTGCCAACCAGCCCTAAACATCTTTGAGACCTCTCTGTTCTCTGACCCGGCCCTGATCCTGCTGCCTGGCAATCTGATGCACGAGCATCCCTGCTCGGTCTGTCGAGATCTCGTTGGCGACCACGCAGCCCTCGTCGGCGGAGTAGTCGATTCCTGGGATGCATTTTTCACTGCTCCAAGTCCTGTGGACATATTTTTAAGCCCGAAGCAACGAAGCCCCAAGCAGTTGGCATCCCGCCACAATTGTTCAATGCTTCCTCCCGAGGCTGCGTTTGCCAGAAGGGTCTAGGCTTCAAGCGACCTGGACGCGTGGTTCGCCCTGCTTCTCTCTTGCACTAGGTGTCTCAGGAGCGAGGAACCATTGGGCATCGGTATCTTGACTTTGGTAGCATAGGAATATAGGCGTACACACATACATAGAATAGTACAATAGACAGAACAGAATATGTGCTGAGATAGGGATAAGGATAACAATAAGGTAATATAAAATACAATAGTATAACTAGAAAAAAATAAAGATGTGTGTGTATATATATATGTACATATATATATACACATACATACATACATACATGCATACATACATATACAGATATATACATATATATATACACACATAAATAAACAGACACATAACTACAGACACAGATAAGACAACAGCCTACAATAAAATATAAAAACCTATGTTCGTAAATACACACACACACATACACACATACATACACACATCCATTCACCCATCCATCCATCCATCCA